CCCGGTCCCCTCCCGCGGCGTCCTCTCCTCACGAGGACCGGGGCGGCGGTCACCGCGTCTCAGGTGTCACCGCGCCCGGAGACCCCCGCTCGACGTCGCTTCCCGTCAGGAAAGCTCCGGAAAGCTCGGGACTCGGGCTCCGGAAGAGTCGTCACGCGGTCACCAGCTCCCCCGAGCCCCCGGCCCACCTGGCCGGGGAGGGACTCGGTCGGCGCCCGCGCCGCGTCCCACCTGTTGGGCAGACTTGGGGCGCCGCCGGACCCCATTCCTCCGCTCACCCCACCCCGCCCGGCCGCACATCCCTCCGTCCTTTCCAAAGCAGAGCTCGGAAGTCGGTGCCGGACGGTGGCGGCCGCCCCCCCCCCGGGTGCCCAGCCCCTGCTTGCCGCGTGGGAGTGGGGCGCGGCGGGGAGCGGGCGCCCAGCGGGGAGGGAAGGCTGCCCACACTGGCCCATTGCCTTGGCTTCCAGAACGGACCGACAGTGCTCAACCCACTGGCCGGGCGGTGCCGTGGTCAGAGGTGTTTCAAAGGACTTTTAATCTCTAAAAAGGTGTCCCTTGGAAGCCATCATGTAGATAGAGTGTATGCAATTACGCATTTGCATAGTACTTTGCCTTGGGCCTTGATGGGTTTCATTTATTGGGCATCCAGGTGCGATGCTAATTATTCATGTAAAGGGTGTTTGTGGGCACTGGGGAAAGATTTAGAGTCGGGTCTCCTCCCAGAGCTCAGCAGAGAACTTCCGAGGTAGACCTGCCGAGTTGTGTCTCTGTTGTGGACAGTTGTACCTCAGCTCTAGCCTCTACTTGTTGGGTCTTCTGGCTTTTGTGTGAAATATCCTGATTTTTAAATAGCATCACTTATTATTTTCCTTTATATTAGCACCCACGTAGAGGCCCGTGTGTGAGTTACTGTGAGAGCTGCTTCACATCTCACCACAGGCTAAGTAGGTCTCTTCCCTCTGTCCCATACTGTCTGTCCCTTCCATCCTTCCATCCGTCCTTTCTTCCCTCCTTCCTTCCTTCCTTCCTCTCTTTCTCTCTCTCGCTCACTCTCGCTTCTCTCACTCTTGCTCTCACTCTTTCTCTCTCTCTCTTTTGGTCATGGGGCTTGAACTCTGGGCCTGGACTCTGTCCCTCAGCTCTTGAGCTCAAGGCTAGCACTCTACCACTTGAGCCACAGCACCACTTCTGGCTTTTTCTGCTTATGTGGTGCTGAGGAATTGAACCTAGGGCCTCATGCATATGAGGCAAACACTCTACCACTGAACCACCTTCCCAGCCCTCCCATACTGATTTCTGACTGCTGCCTCCTTGGCTGGACCCAGAACCCCACTTAGATGCCTTGGGCATGGGTGCTATGCCTCAGCCGAGGTCAGAGCAAATTTTCCTACCCTCTGAGAGATGCAGAAATGTGAAGCTAGACCATGTTCCAAAAAGCACACATGGTTGTGTGGCAGGTTTTCTGGTATATGTCCTTCTCAGACGCTGAACACAAAGGGAAATGGTACTGGGGAAATGCACTTGGAGGGGCCTCTAGGAGGAAGTCTTTATGCTGCTTTTATCTTCCTTCAGTTGAAATGAACCTAAAAATCTTAGCCTGGGTTTGTCATCTTCTCCACTAGAAAACATTTGCAGATTCATGTGGTGCAGTTTGGCCAGGAAGACTCAAGAGTAGGTTTCAGGGCCTCCCTGCCACCTCTTCCTGAACAACTCATAAAAACCAGAGCGGGACATAATTTATCATTCTTCCATAGATTTTTTTTGTAGTTTTATTATTAGCTTAAGTTTTTCTCTTTCTTTTTGTTGTCTTTAATTATTCCATTCCTCATTAACTCATTAGATAGGGAAAGAAGGGAGATGCATGTAAGTTTCAGATGTTAAGTTTTGAACTTTATATCTTAAATTTTCTAGTGTATTTGTCTTTTTGAATCAGTGTTATATGGGCTGTTTGTCTTTGTGATGTTTTCTCAGGGGCTAGAGAAATTGGTTTGCAGCTTCATAGAAATATACAGTTTACAGTGTATGTAAAATCCCATAGGATCATTTGCAGCTTAATACTTTGGTATAAATTAGAGTAGTGTAATGTACTTTTGAGATCTCTTTTTTGGACATTGGAGCAAAAAACATTCTTTACACCAGATAGATTCAATGCAAATATTTGCATCCAGAAATATAAACTATATGATTGCAAATGTTTCATTTTGTGGAGTCATTTTGAATACACTTGGTGGAAGGCAGTTAGAAAAATCAAGGCAACTGTTTGCAGCTGAGTGATATTTTTGGGCTGTGGCTTTACAGAGGGTGAAGGGTGGCGCAGTCCTAGCAACATAGGTTACATTGATTCCTTCCAATAATTGTGCATTGCTCAAGAGAGAGGAATAGGGAAGAGGGACAAATAAGCCACAGGGATAAACTGCTTTGTAAATCTCCTTGAGATTTTTCCTTCTTTTTATAACAGCTCATTTGAGGGACAGCCCCCAGGAGATGCCAGCGTAATTTAGTGTCCCATTTGAAGAAATCTTAAACCAGATTGTCTCTGGAAGCTCTCTCACTGCTAAGGTGTCTGTGCTCTTTGTCCTATGATTGCTTCCCTCCAGAAGTTACTCCTGCTGGTCTGCTTCTTACTTACCCTTAGCTCTGCTAAGTCACTCTGGTTCTCAAGCACACAGCCAGGCCAGATTAGGAAGAGAGATCTCTGCATTGTTCTTCTCATCCCCTGAGGGTGGGGCAGGTCTGAATCCAAAGTTTGTGGATGGGCTCTGTTGTGGGAGCATAGATCATCTGCAATGCCCTATGAAGTTGAGGGAAAATTTGTGCATGTTTTGGGCCAGCATTAGGACAGAAGATGAATTCTCCCTCCGAAGTAGTAAATCTGTTCCTAAGTGTTGCTGAGCATACTGTCCTGTGGTGTGTTTTCTGCCCCAGCTCCTAAGGTATGGTGTGGATGAGATGGGGTAACAATGGCTCCTTTTTCTTTCCCCATCTGATAAATAGCTTGCTTTAGTGATCAGGATTGGAATGTCACAAAGAATCAAGCCTCATTGTTTCCTCATACCTCTGGAAGTCACATATATAACATGAGCAAGCCAAGGAAAGTCCACTTGCAGCAGGAAGGAGGTGGAATTTTGGCCTGGGTGCCGGTACTTTCCTCAGTCTGATGTGTTGCTCCTCTTGATAACCACTGAGCGGTGGAGAAGGGCTGGCTTGAATGGTCTTTGCTTTTCCTGTCTGTGTGGGAAGATGTGTTAGTGTCACAGTGGTTGACAGTCTCACTAACACTGCCTGGGCTATTAGTCTTCCAAGACAGGTCAAGTTAGGCATGACTTTCAGGGCTCAAGTTCAGAGCTGAACAAAGCCATCCTTAGTTCATTTGATAACTAAAGACAGATTGGTGAAAGGTTCATAAATGGTGAGAAGTTAGTTTTTTAAAAAGTATTAAAATTTGTTACTATGGTAGTCTGAACAGAGCAACAATGCTAATTATAACTTAGTTTGTACTCTCATAATGCTTACATTGCTTTACTATTAAGAATTAATCGTTCTGGGTACTGGTGGTTCATGCTTGTAATCTTAGTTACTCAGGAGGCTGAAATCTACAGGATTAAAGTTTGAAAACAGCCTGGGCCGAAAAGTCCATAATGCTTATCTACAAAATCAGCAAAATGATAGGCTGGAGGGGTAGCTCCACTGATAGATGAACAAGCAGACTGAGTATGAGGCTCTAAGTTCAAACTCCAGTACAAAAGAAAATCATCCCATTTTTTTATTATCCTTTAACTACAAGAAACTCTTTAATAGTTTTCCTTTGAGTTTGTGAGCTCTTTTCTATGGGGCTCTGACGGGTCACTGTATTCTGTATGTGGGAACTAATTGAATACATTTCATCTCCAGGTTGTGAGAAAGTGAGTAAGTACTGTTTAATGAGATGTTTTTAAGAAATGAATTTATGGTGCTAATTGTGACAGACATACTAGCACACTGAATCCCTTAAGACTCGTGTCTTTCCCTCACTACCTTCTAGAACAAAATGCTGTGGTGATCATGTTTCTGGATGACAGTGGCCTGTTTACCAGAGTGGACGCTTTCCTTTCCTCACCCAAAACTTAGTCACAAAGTAGCGAGATTTCTGGAACTATTCAGCATTGTTGATTTTAGCTAGTAAAAACTGCTTTCCTTTACATTGTTGCCCTATCTTCCCTTTCCTTAGTGAAAATTCAAATAGAACTTTGAGATAGCTTTAAGTATAAATTCATTTTGTCATCATTTTAAATATTTTTAAAGTATTCTAATTCTTAAAAAATTAAAACATTTCGTCTTTTTTTTTTGGTTGTTGTTGAATAGAGCTTTGTGTATATTGGAAAGTACTCTAACACTGAAGTATATTCTGACCTTGAAATATTTTAAGCTACTAAAAATTATTTTTTCTCTTTTCTCCATGTCCTTCCTTTCTTTAGTTGGATAAGTATTTTATTCTAGTTGTTTCATTTTTTTTCTGATTGTGCTGACTGAACTTCATTAGTTGAACAACCTTTCTACAAGGATTTGCAGCCTTGGGATCCTTTTTAAGGGTCATATTGCATATAGCTGATTTCCATTTATCCTTGGTGGCCAAGAAAGTTAGCAAGGATTTTTTCATAGAGTCCTAGTGAAATCTAGTTGTGGCTAAAATAATTTATTTGCATGTATTCTGGACCTTTTATTCTACAGTTTCTGCTTTGCTTCTGTTGTATACTGGATCCTGAATCACTGCTTTTTCTTTTCCATAATCTCCCTTATTGGTGTCTTCCCTTTGCATGTACTTCTGGTGGTTCTGATGTTGGTTTCTTTCTGTTCTTTTCTTGTTCATCCTTGTAAAAATTCCTATTTGTGGCCATCTGGTGAATTTCTTGTTTGGAGAACTGTTTCAGGGAACTGGGATTGTGCTTAAATTCTTTCTGTTGTTATTTTGTCAAGTAAAAGAGGACCAAAGTAGAGCCAAGTAACATACAGTATAGCCACAGAATTTACTTGAAGTACAAATATATGCATAGAGTGTTAGAACCAAGAGTGGAAGAGGAACCATGTCAATCATACAGATTTAGTCTAGTTTTTTTTTTTTTTTTGGAAATGAGAAAACTGAGAGCAAAATTAGGGAAGTGACTTGCCCAAAGACATCTTCTGATAATATAAATATTAAAAAAGTGATGTGCTTAAATGACTGACTAGGGAACAGAATTTCAGTGATAAAGCTAGGAATGAAGCTGAAAGGTAGCTGTTAAATTTGTGACAGAAAAGTGAACACATCTAGTCAGATTTTATTTTAGATCTTTGATCTGTAGTCTTCAGGCATCTGTTTGCTTTGAACTCTGGCACAGGCTCCATGGGTGATGTCACACTCTTACTTCAAGTCTCGCTGGAATCACCCCACAAGGAAAGTACCTTTCCATAATACTCGTTTCTCATCCCAAGACTATTAAATTGGTCTTTTTCTCCTCTCCTTTTCTTCTTTCATCTCCTTCCTTATCCCTCCCCCCCGCAAATTTACTTAGAGAGGGAAAGTAGAATAATACTCTATATAAATGGATATTTAGTAGGAATGGAAAAGAATAGCTAAGATTATAACTAATTATATGTGCCTTTTCTCTCAACTGTCCTGAGGTGAATATTATTTTTTTCAATAAGTAGTTACTTAGACACTAGTAACCACTGTACATATAGCTAATAAGGGTTGAATGAAGGATGGATAAACTCTAGTCTTTTTTTTTTTTGGGTCCGGTTGTGGAGCCTGAACTCTGGGCCTGGGCACTGTCCCTCAGCTCTTCAGCTCAAGGCTAGTGCTCTACCACTTCAGCCACAGCGCCACTTCCGGCTTTTTTGTTTTGCTTATGTGGTGCTGAGGAATCGAACCCAGGGCCTCATGCATGTAAGGCAAGCGCTCTACCACTGAGCCACCTTCCCAGCCCCATAAACTCTAGTCTTAAGTACTGGATTCCCACTCCAACTGTTGCTCTTAGAGAGAGCTCACCCACACAGTACCTCTCCAGATGTATTGTGCAGTAGGTGGGTCAGGAGTATGACCCAGTTGAGAGGAGAGAACACCTGGAGCCAATCACAGGTGTGAAAGCATAGGATAGTGTTGATCCAGTGTTCGGACTGACAGTGGAATGATGGGGCAGGTGTACATTTAGACATGAGTCCCTTCCAGCATCTGGGAAGTGTTGAAAGATTCCAGCACTCCCTACCTCAGTCTACCTCTTTTAGCATCCCTTCTTCTGTCTCTCTCTCTCCTGACCCTCTCTTCTTTCTCCATGTGCTCGGAGCTGGGTATTAAGGGTATTAGAATCTTAGTCATTTGCTTTATTCCTTACGTTGTTTTTAACCTGACACCCTCTCCTTCCATGTTCCCTTGTGTCTAGAGGCTCCCCCAGCCGTCATTATTGTTTTAGGATGGGATGTGCTGTGGTTGGGTAGCGTATAGGGAGTTAGGGTTCTGATGTAGATGTTAACATCCAGTCTCCTTGGTTTATTTTTTAATTTTATTATTATTATTTTTTTGCCAGTCCTGGGGCTTGAACTCAGGGCCTGGGCACTGTCCCTGAGCTGCTTTTTGTTCAAGGCTAGCATTCTACCACCTGAGCCACAGCGCCACTTCTGGCCTTTTCTGTTTACGTGTTACTGAGGAATCTAACCCAGGGCTTTATGCATGTTAGCTAGGCAAGCACTCTACCACTGAGCCACATTCCCAGCCCCCAGTCTCCTTGTTTTTAAGTTCAGAATGGTCTGTGTACCTTTAGAAACTTGTCACTAGCTGCTGAGTCCTCCTGGGCTTCTGGCTGGCTTAGTGCCTTGCTTCCACAGATGCCTCTCCACCAGTTTCGTATATCCCTGTCTGTCATTTACCACTGCTTTCCAACTGGGCTTTCACATGTCTTCTGCTTTCAGCAATGATAGAGTGCTTCAATTTCCCTTCATTGTCATTTTGGGGTGAATCTTGAGGGGAAAAGGGGAAAGAGTCTTGTTCTTCATCTTTAGTACCTAGTGAGATTTTCTCCCTGACTCCTTAGTAAGCTTTTCCTAGTCTGAGACACTTGAGGAAGCCAGTGTGCGAGTAAAAAGTCATCAGTACTAGTGGTAGTCATTAGCACATTTGGGAATGTAGCAATCTGGCTGGCCAGGTGAGTGCTGGGGTCAGGGAGAGGCGCCCCCAGGAGGATCTTTAGCTTTGGAGACTTGTAATGTTGACTCTGAATTCTGATTTTGGAAGAACTGTTGAAATTTGCCTGTGACATGTTATAAAAGTTGGCAGTTGGCCTGAATTCCTATATAATAAATGCTTTTGTTAGCTAATTCCCCTTGGAAATTGGCAGGATCAGTTCAGGAGCTTCACTGATTAGATACATGCTAATAGATGTTAACGTAAATGGCTGTGGAGTCTTGTAGCCCTCGGAGTGGCATAAATTGTCCCATTCAAAGAAATGCTGAAGAAGAAAGTGGTAAGGTAGAAGCATGAACATCTGAAGATGTAGAACCCCTATTTTATCAGGTTGTCATCAGGAAATGTGAAAAAAGTGAAAATATTTTTGTATTTCATACATTTTATAAGTAGCTGTATATTGTGATCCAACAGTATTTGAAAATGTCTACTTTGGTGTGATTTCAGTGAGGAGGACATATACCGTGCTGCAGATGAAATAGAAAAGGAGAAAGAATTACTTATTCATGAAAGAGGGGCATCAGGTATGTTTCCTGTTTCATTTATAGAGTTTTTACTATTTATAGTAGAAAACAGTTAAGTCAGTTTGTTCGCTTTCATAAAATGGGCATGTACTTCCTTGGATATATTCTTGTATGAAAAGCTTTAAATACGTCCAATGTTTATTTTACCCCAGTTTGTTTTTCCTAAAGTTTTACAATTTTAATGCAAGTATTCTGACTGCATTCTTTGCATTCATATTTTTTTACTTGTGAGAATTGCTTTTATCTCGTAGTTACCCTGTCTCAGCTCATTTCTTGACATTCGTAGGAGAGTTTGACTTTGAAATGCATTTTCCATTTCCAGTGAAAAGACCAAGAAGCTGGCTATACACATCCATGACAATCTAATTGCCTAAAAAACAATAATCATGGGACTGAAAGCACAATCCACATTTTATGGTTACAAGTCATCTGTGCTTCTCTGTCTGACCTGCTCTTGTCACTTCTGGTAGGGCCCATCATTGGGTAAACTACTCTCTTGGCCTCCTCTGGTCCATGGAGACTTGTCTAGCAGAGTTACAAGTGAAGCAAACCCTTTCTTCTCTGGGAGGCCTCAGGCAGAAGTCAAGGATGGAACTCCCCAACATAACTCACAAGTGACATTTCATTACCTGTGTCATTTATGTGTTCTGCTGGTTTGTTTTCAGCATTGGCTTCTGCTTACTTTATGGTTAACAAAGGCATTTTCACTATAATTGGGATATAGGTGTCGCGTAGGACATTTGATTATTTCGGAGTCTTTCTCAAAAGTTTGTGAACGTTTCTCTTTGGTAGCCAGTGTAGGTGTCTTTGTAGTAGTTCTGGAGAGGTGCTGGGGCTCACTGTTCCAGTCCTCCATGGAATTTCAGAGGATGCTCTGCTGTGTTGCTCAAATCATTCATGTTAGCCTGTTTCTAAGGAGAATGTATGTAGTCGTTTTTTGTTATTGCTGCGAGTCCTCCTGCTTTCTCTTCTACTTTCTAGGTTTTGTTGTGTTTCTCTTTTGCCCAGTATTGTACTCCACACAGATTGCCAACTTTTTCAATGAGTCTTGTAATTTCTAGCATTAGTCTGAGAGTAAAATTAACCCTTTTACTCTCCTTGTTCTCAGTCCAAGTTCATTGCCTTCCTGAAGTAATATCCTTTAACAGTGTTCACTCTCCAAATCAGAGGCCAGATGGACACAGAAAGTGTTCTCACCTTATTTGTTGGTGACAGTCTTTTTTATCTACCCCAGGAGTCAGCGGTCTGTAGCTTCCAGGTCACATCTGACCTGCCATCTGGGTCTTTCAACTCAGGGCTTTGTGCTTGCTGTTGCTGAACCACTGCTTCTATCCTTTTTTTGCACTGGTTATTTTTGAGATAGAGGACCACTTCCTGACTGAGCATGCACTCAGATCTTGTTACTGCTGTATTCACTTCTGGCCATTATTGGGACAACAGGCAGGCACCGTCAGCCAAGCTCCCTCTATTGAGGTGAAGTCTCTTAGACTTTTCTGCCTGGCTGGCCTGAAACGGCAGTCCTCCCTTTCTTAGGCTCATGCATAGCTTGGGTGATAGATGCAGACAAGTGCATCCAGCTTTTGGGAGAGAAGGGATCTCATAACTTCTTTGCTGTGCTTGAACTTCGATTGCCTTGAACTGCAGTCCTTTGAACTTTAGCCTTCCAAATAGCTAGGGTTACAGGCCACTGGTGCCTAGTTTATAATTTTTTAGTGTATGAATTTTTTTAGTTTACATAGCATTTTTGGTGGTAGAGTGAAGTTGAGTAGCTGTGACAGTAGTTCACCTCACTCAAAGCCTAAATTGTTTCTTAACTGACTTATTACAGAAATGTTTTATATTCCTATCTTAGTCTATCCCCTGAGAGTCTGAACATCTTAAGAGGGGTTTCCCTTTTAATTTCTCACCCCTGAGGGTCTGATTCTTACTTTTCTTACTCATGTGGTGGTTAAGTACCAAACCACTTGGTTATTTCAGCTCCTTCCTACCACTTGGGGTTTCAACTTCCCTTATTTATTTTTATTTTTTTTGCCAGTAGAAATACGCTTTTCTGCAGACAGTGATGATAGACTGGCAAAAGGTAAAAAAGGGACCGTTATACTTCGTGCTCAGTGGGCTGATTCTGTACCTCCAGCTCCTTGCCTGCGTAGGGCATGTGTTAGTTGTTGGAGTCCTCCTTCCAGAAAATTATGGCAAAATGAATTCAAGTAATCCTTGGTGCTGTCAGCTACGCAAGTACCCGTTTTCCTAACCTACTCCTCCCACAGGCCCCTGATGTAGCATGGAACTGGGGCCTGTGGCTTGGCCTCTTGCCCACGTGAGGCCCTAGGCCTCCTCCCCTCCATCCTGAGGTGGTGGGCCTGGCCAGCTCTGTACAGGGGCCAGGCCTGTCTTGGTGTAGTGAGAGTGAGGACAGCAGGAAAGGAGGCTTCCTGTGCCACAAGTGTGTTTTCTTTTTAGGCTCATACCCCTGCCTGGTGGGAACATAAGGCCCAGAAAGGTTCTGTGCCTTGCAGTTCTTCCTGCTTTGCTGGGAGGTGAGTGGAAAAGCAGATGTCGTCCCCTTCGTACAGGAATGGGATCGTGTTCTTGTGCTAAGAAGACAGTCAAAAAGTATATCTTGAATTTAAGAGTTGCAGAGTCTTTTCTGAAGGTTTGGCTGTGTGGCATTGGCTTTCGTATTCTCTGTATATTATATCTTAGGGCCATTTTTACCTCTAAACTAACCCTGATGTATGCCACAGATAAATGTATTTATAGTACTGTATATATGGTATTTTCCCTCTATGTAAACGGTTGATTTTCTCTATGAAAGGACTCATACTGATATTTAAAGAAAAAAAAAGTTCTCAATAGTTACTTAAAAAGATGTAATTGTCCTATATTGCAGTTATTGCAGGGAGAGTTTGGTGCTGCTTAGTCATCCTGGTATTGATCACACTCTCTGTGGTCTTCTTCAGTAGTCTGTAATTCTTTTTAGGACAGAATCTGTTTTCATTGCCTTTTTCTCTTTTGTTCCTGGATCAGTGTTTGGCGTATATTATACACTCAGTAAATATTTGTTAAATAGAGCTAAATGAAACACTTGTTTTATGTGTAACTACCTCAGGGATAAATACATTGTGATATACTTTAAGGCTTATGTCCTAAATCACTAACGTACATCTTCACCAGTTTTGAAAAAAAAGTCAAGGTGTACGTGAGAATGTATCTCATTTTCTTCCTAAAACACACACATGCTGTCATATGCATGATCATAACTACACTTCTGTCTTGTCACAGACCAAACCCCAAACTTCATGCTTTAAACAAAGAAAATCTGAATTTTTTTAGCCTTGTAATATTTGCATGATCATGAGTAGTAATCCTAATTTGAGGTCATGAATCAAATGAGGTTGGTGGATCAACTGACAGTGAGTGCTCCATTATTTTCTAGTTTATTTTCAACAAGTTACAGTTTTAAGGCACCAAAGCAGCATATAAATAAGCACAGACAATTAATTATGTGTAATTTTTATTATATGTGCTATCTTTTTTATAATGGATATGAAAAACTAAGTTGTAGAAGTATTTTCTATTGTTCAGACTGTTGAGTCTCTGATTAGGAAAATGTTCACAGAAGCCTGTGGGTCAGTGCATTTTCAGACATTGAGTAAGGATGCATCTGAGAAACAAATCCTACTGTCAAGAAGCTCATTTTTTTGAGTTCACTGTATAGAGGTTAGAGAAAAAGAAATATGGCAAGTATTGATAAGCATTAAGAAAAAATCAGAATGGCATATGATGAGAGCAAAGAGGTGTGTATGATACTATGGTGTAGGGGCATCAGAAGACAGAGGCTGCAGGGAGCTGTCCTGCAGGGATGGGACAGAGGTCGGCTGGGGTGTTGCAGAGCATCTAGGGAGCTACAAGTAGGATAGGCGCACACTGAATGTGGGGAGCAATGGGAGCTGATCCAGAGGGGTAGTGGGGGCCATTCAGGGGTTTTCATGAGTCAGGGCATGTCTTTCTTGCAAATGAAGGTAAGACGGAAAACTCTCTGAGCTGTCTGAACTAGCAGTGAGAACTGTTACCCAATGTGTCCTGTTCTAGGTGGGCAACTCTGGCTAGCTACCAGGTGGAGGATGGACTGGATGGTGTGATGACAAGGGAGACCCTTTGAGAGACTGCCATGGCTATCTGGTGATGGCCTAGACTAGAGGCACAGGCAGTGGTGGAATTCTGGATTTTAAAAAATGAAGTCAGAGAGAAAGTAAGGAGTGACAGGTGACCTTCATGTAAAGCAATACTGTTGTTTTGGTTATTCTTTGTTTCATTATTTGTTTCTTGTTTTGATTCTTTGACAGAACTCAGATTAAGCGTGGCTCCTGAGATGGACATCATGGACTACTGTAAAAAGGAGTGGAGGGGAAACACTCAAAAAGCAATATGTATGAAAAAGGTACAGCAGAGGAGCACATATTTTAGGTCTTTCAAATAGTTGGTTATAACTTATATTTTTAGATATTGGTTAAGGCAACTGCTATTAGACTTTGTGAATATTGATGTTCTAATTTTAGCGATGAGGACACATTTCCAAAGGTAAGGACTTATTTAGGTCATAGTCCTAATATAGAACTGGCATCAGTATTTTAGAAACTTAATTTCTTTGAAAAATACAACTGAGTGATTCAGACTTGGGACCTCCATTGATGGTTGTCTTGGGCTGTTGTGAATGCTCTTTTTTTTTGGATCACAAAATTTTATTTTTCTTTTATTGTTATTGTAAAGGTGATGTACAGAAGATTTACAGTTACATAAGTCAGATAATGAGTATATTTCTTTTTGAACAGTGTCACCTCTTCCCTTGCCTTTTCCCAGTTTTTCTTTCTCAACCGCCCTCCCCCCAACCCAAGGTGTATAGTTCATTTTTAACATAGTGTCTAACTATTGCATTTGTTCACCCTTTTTCCCACCATTTCTGTGTTCCTCTCTTCCCTCCCCAAAATAGATAAATATATGACAAAGGTATTGAAAACAAAAACAGTGACAAAGGAGAAAGGAAAACAAAAAATAAAATAACAAAATCCTCGATTCCATTTCATAGAGTTCATTTCAATAAATATAATTTTATATGAGCATAGCTCTTGAGCTTTTATGATCCTCTCCTAAGAATATCATCCTTGGGATATTCTCACTGTGTCCAAGTATGTATTTTTGTCTATTACCATTCAGTGTATTTACCTGTAGATTTATAGGCACTTTCTAGTTACAACAAATGAGGGAAATCATGTAACCTATGTTTCTTTGGGTCTGGCTTACTTTGCTTAATATAATTTTTTCTAGATCTTTCCATTTCCTTATGAATGGGAGAGTATCATTCTTTCTGATGGAAGAGTAGAGTTCCATTATATATATATATATATATATATATATATATATATATATATATATATATATACCATGTTTTCTTGATCCATTCATTCATTTAGGGGCATCTGGGTTGATTCCATATCTTAGCTATGGTAAACAATGCTGTAGTGAATATGGTAGCTTTAGTGTGGCTCTATTTGTGGTTTATGGGATAAATGTCCAGGAGTAGGATTGCTAGGTCATAGGGAAGCTCTATGTTTAGCTCTATGTTTACTGCTTTCCAGAGTGATTAAGTAGGTTTACATTCCTACCAAAAGTGTAGTAGTGTTCTCTTTTGGCCAGTCCCCACCAGCATTTTCTTATTGTTAGTTTTCTTGATAATGGTCATTCTAACTGGGGTAAAGTGGAATCTCAGTGTTGTTTTGATTTGCACTTCTGTTATTGCCAGAGATGTTGAACATCTCTTTGTGTCTGTTGGCCACTCTTATTTTCTTCTTCAGAGAAGTTTCTCTTTAATTTTTCTCTCTCTTTAATTCTTTAGCTCTCTATTAATTGTGTTATTGTTTCGTTGAGGGTTTATTTTGGGAAGGTTTAATTTTTTAACCTCTTAAGTATATTTTTGAGGCCCTTGTCTGATGCATAGCTAGTAAAGATCTTCTGCCATTTTGTGCGTTTTCTGTTTATCTTGCTAGATATGTTGTTTGCCATATAGAAACTCTTCAGTTTGATACAGTCCCATTTATCCGGTCTTCTTTGATTTGTTGTAATTCTGAATCATTTCTTAGGAAGTTTCGACCCATGCCTAGTAGCCCTGGTGTTTCCCCTACCCCTTCCTGTAATATTTTCATGGTATCTGGCCTTACATTGAAGTCTTTGATCCATTTAGATTTAATTTGGATGCAAGGTGATATAAGGATCTAGCTTAAGTTTTCTGTATAGCCAGTTCTGTCAGCACCATTTGTTGAAGAGGCTTTCTTCTAATCTGAGTTTTTGGCTTCCTTATCAAGTATTAGGTGGCCAAAGGTCTGTGGGTTCATTTCTGGGTTTTCTGTTCTGTTCCATTGGTCCTCAGTACCATGCTAGTGCCAGGACCAAGCTGTGTCTACATGTTCACCTTCCACAGAAATGCTTCCTCTGACCTATAATTCTATTTTATGGCCCAATCTTCTTCAAAGAATCTATTTTAACTGTTGTCATCTTGAAGTCCTTTACTGAAGATGTCTGAGTTACCTAAACATTTTGTAATTTGAAAGTCATGTTAAAATCATTCCTGTATGGGATTAGTTTAATGCCGGGGAAAAAAGATTTGACTAGCAGTTGACCTCTTTTCAATGATAAGTCAAAGTACTTCATTTTGTTAAGGTCTGTGGCATAATCAGAGTATCTTGGATGTCTACTAATAGTTTAGATCTTGACTTTATAGTAGTCTTTTATTTGTCTCATTGTCTGTTTTTTGTTTGGGTTAATGAATGTGAATTCAACTGTAATTTTAGAAAGTGTGTCTCCTCTCTGAAATTGCACAAGTAATTTATGCAATTAGAAGGTGCAGTTGGATAATTAGTGGTAACTAGGGATAGCTAGGGATCCACCTGAGGGAGCAGGTACCTATTAGTAGGTGTGAACCTATGTGGTGGTCTTTTATATATTACAGTGACAAACCCTTATGTGTTAGTATGGTTTGACCATTAAATGCAAATGCAATTTTAAGGCTTTTATTACGAGAAAGAAGTACTTTCATACTCACATAAAACATCATTGAATGGCACAGACTTTGAGAATGACTAGTAATGAGATTCCAGTACTCAAACACTCAGGATAAGATGTGCATTGTTCTTGCTTCTTTCTTTGTATAAGTTTAGGGTGGGGGGTGGATTTTTGAGTCACTGTCAAGGAAGAGTATGACAAGGGAAAGGATTGGCTGATGGGCTGGGGACAACACAATCAGTACTAATGTGGAAGAGTGCCGCTAGAGAAATCAGGGTAGCACTCATGATCATGAACAAAGATACTAGAATTTGAGGGACCAGACATATCACTGACCATTTGTATCTTATTGTTTTACTTCCAGACAGAGCAGAAGTGACACTTTAATCCACTTAAAGTCTAACAGAAGTATCTAGACATTTCCTAGCAGTAGACTTTGATATACACATACACAGGTATGTGCCCCATATGTGTTTTGATAAACAGTAAATCACGTATACAATTACCTCTAACATTGTGATGGGCTGAAAAATTCCCAACCTCCAGGGATATAGCCATTGTACATTGTAATGCAACACATTGTTCAGATATTTGTAGTGATGCTACTGTGCACAAACATCATATAAAAATGTAGCACATACAGTTAGATATAATCTATAATAACTTGGTAATGAAAGCTACATTAGTTACTTATATATTGGTGTCTACTATAAAACGATATGCCACATTACTGTAGCAGTAGCCTCATGCATCTCAGTTGTGGGGCTTGACCTCAGAGCCTGGGTGCTGTCCCTTAGTCCCTGAGCTTTTTCACTTAAGGCTTGTGCTCTACCACTTTGAGCCACAGCTCCACTTCAGTTTCCTCATGATTAATTGGAGATAAGAGTCTCATGGACTTTATTGCCCTGGCTGGCTTTCAATTGTGATCTTCAGATCTTAACCTTTCGAGTAGTTAGGATGACAAGCGTGAGCCACTGGTGCCCAGCTTTTACGGCATATTTTGACTGGATAATTTTCTCTTGTGCTTAATTTAATCTCATCCTTTTTTTCATGATGGCTGTTGAACATGCTAAATCTACTGCTAAGGTTTATTAAGAGGTCATGGAGCTTAGGTGTATTGCAGATCATACCATTTAGGTTTATGTAAGTTCACTCTGATGCTTGTGCAATAATGACATTGCCTCATGACACATTTGTCAAGAATTGATTACATTGCTAAATGATATGTGATTTCACATAACATACCTTGGAAACTTGGGACTTTGTTTTTTAATGTAGAGATATTAACTTAGTACATCTGTCTCTTTTCATGTTCCCTTACTTGAAAGAATTTGGGACCAATTTAAACACATTTATTTTACAAAAAATGTTTTATTTTGTTGGAATAGTTTTAGATTCACAGCAAAATTGTACACAAAAGGCAGAGTTACCGTATTCCAATCTCCAAGTAGATACACTCTCTCTTACTATCAGTATCAATATACCAATATTGTGATGTTTCTTAAACACAGAGTAAACCTTTCAAAATGGTAACAGTGACTATTTCCACAGTTGCTTACAAGTAACATGACTCTGACTTTGGGGATGACTAGTGACTTGAATATTTGATTATTTTGTATGTTAGGTTTATCTTATCTGTTGCATATGCAGACACCTTATACAATACTTTCATTTTAAGAGGAGTGGAGTAATAGGAAATTATTGGAATGTTTTATATGAAAGACTCAGCCAGCTATTGTGTTCCATTTTTCAGTGGTCTGAGGGAAATTTTTCTACAAGACCAGAACTCCCCTTGATATTGGAAGCCAGTAACAACTATTTTCAATTCTTTGATCCTCCTTCCAGGGCTATGAGGAAGTTTCTCAGAAGTTCACCTCCATCAGGAGAGTCCGTGGTGATAACTACTGTGCACTGAGGGCCACACTCTTCCAGGCTATGAGCCAGCTGGCAGAGCTGCCCCCGTGGCTGCAGGACCCGGAGCTCACGCTGGTATGTGGTTGCTTCATGTTCTCAAAGTTCTTGTGAGAAGACTGCCACTTTCTGCTCATTCTGGCTGATGATGTATCTGCAGTGTGATGTCAACACCTAGGTTCTGTGTATCCAGGCTGATGTCACATAGTGAACTGATCAGAAATCATTAGTATTTTCCAGAAGAAATTAGTCATAAAACTGTTTAGCATTCACTAAAGTGCTTATTAACAGTTTTAGTTCAATTTTTGGAGTAGTTAAAGGGGCTGAGGTATTGACCTAGATGGAGAAAACTGTCAAAGGAAACTTGCTGACCAAGCCACATGTGCGCAGGGTTCAAAACCAAGACTGGGCACAGGACACTGCCTATCTAGTTCATGATTTTTTTAATTTTAATTCCAGTCCTGGGGTTTGAACTCAGGGCCTGGGTGCTGTCCCTGAGATTTTTTTTGCTCAAGGCTAGCACTTACAGCACTTGAGCTGCAGTTCCATTTCTGACCTTTTGGTGGTTAATTGGAGATAAGAGTTTCATGGTCTTTTCTCCTCTGGCTGGCTTGAAACTCTGATCATTAGATCTCAGCCTCCTGAGCAGCTAGGATTACAGGTATGAGCCACCTGTGTCTGACTTTTGTGATGATCTATGTTATAAGCCAGGAAAGTCAGCACACCTGTATGAATGATCAAAATTAACAATCTATTTATCATAAGCAGACTTTAAATATTTGATTATTTCTTTGACATGGACATTTTAAAATTATATATATATGAAATATATATATATATATATATATATATAAAATGAAATATTTCAGAATCGTCGGTCAGTTGTCAAAAGTATACCTCATTCATGGATAAGAGACTAGGAAAGCAAATGAAGATTTCACTGTTTTTGTGCTAAACTTCTCTGCTGGATGACTGTGGCTTAATTTATAGATTATGACATAATTGCTCAATTTTAGACAAAGTTTCATCTCTTCTTCCTGCCTCCCTTTCTTTTTTCTTTTTCTTTGTGGTATAGGAGAGACCCAGGGTCTTTGCACATACTGTGTACTTGAGCCATGCATCTAGTCCCCAGTTTTCTTTTGGAGCTTTTCACTACTAAGGGGCTATTTAAATTTATGGATTCACTTGATGTTGAATTTTTATTCTTTCAAAGAGCTTCTGGTGCAAGTAGTATCCTGAGTAATCAAACAAAAACATACTCTAAAAAAGCATAATTCTCTTTCTGGTAACAAGGTACACTTAGATACTATCATCTACAATGTTGCAAGTAGGTCTGGTAGATTGCCTTTGGTCTGGGTTCAGTGTTAGAATATGTTGCATATGTGAATGATGGAGCCCTGATACGGTTTTCCCGACTTCATTCAAGTCATGTGGAAAAGTTTTAAAATTCCTAAATGTTCTTTCTAGTTTTCTCCTTTTTTTCTTGTTGGTTCCCCCCACTTTAATCTATGCTTTATTGAATGACAAGAGGCCTGTGCCAGAGAAGAAAAGTATTATACATATTTATGAATTCTATATTTATGTTAATAAAATTTTAGTTCTACTGAATGTCTTCCAAAGAAATGATTTCTTGTTCTAATCCACCTTGAGGACTTGCCCTTGTGTTGATGTGCCAATCTCCAGACACTTAAACTTGCATTGAATGTTTTCTTGATAACATTTTGCCTTTCTTTTCAGTACAGGGCTTTGAATTCAGGGTTTTGAGCTTGCAAAGTAGACATTTTTCTGCTTGAACTCTGCCTTCAGCCCTTTTTACTCTGGTTATTTTTGGGATAGGATCTCACTTTTTGCCTGAACTGCATCCTCCTGTTTATGATTCCCACCAATAGCTAGGATGACAGGGATGTACCACCATGCTCAGCTGTTGATTGAGATGGGGGTTGTATAAACTTTGTTCCCAGTCTGACCTTGAACTGCAATCCTCCCAATCTCTGTCTCTCATGTAACTAGTATTGTAGACATGAGTCACTCTACATATTTTGTTTCATCGGCTCATTCACTCCTGAGGTAACAGATTCACCACAGCTTTACATTTGAGGTGTCAGGGAAGGAAAGGATATGCAAAAGTAGTCTGTTGCATGTGATAAGCTGCTCTTTAGTCTCTTCTAGTCATCCCTCAGACCCTCTGGTGGCACTTGCCATTTCTGTCCTCCCCTCCACCAGCTCTTCTCTTGGGAAGTCCATGCTGACATGAGCGTCATTGAGTGGAAAGATGTGCATGGCGGTGTGATTGCAAGAAGTCAGGGGCGGAATCTGTGGCTCACTGTATCTGCTGTCAGATGAAGCCTGAACGATGTTCTCTTGGAACTCGATGTGTGGCTCAAGTGGTAAGGTGCCAGTCATCAGCAAGAAGGCCAAGCAGGAGAGCAAGTCCCTGAATTCAAGTCGCAGTACTGACATACACAGGCATGTACAAACACACACACATGCACTCAAGCGCACACACAAAATGTTCTCGGTCGTGTTTTGCGATTCCTGTCTCTTAGACCAAACTTGGTTTCAGGATATTAAAGGGAAACAGGATAGCTAGAGCGACCAAATATGAGTTCAGTGGGAGTCTGGCCTTCATTTCTGCTGGCTTTCAGCTTCTCTAGCCTCACTCGCTTCCCTGCCTGTGAGTTTGAATTTTATCCTCCTGCCCCAGGTGTTGCCACATCTCCTGCCCTTTTCTGAACTTCCTGTTTTTCCTATTTCTGTTCAGATCCCAATCTGTGTTTAACTGAAGTCAGATCATCTGAACTGGACCCCAGCCTTGGAGATGGTCTAGTTATCCTTACACTAGGAAGCACCCTGCTCCCCGAGAAGGGGCGTCTTTCATAGTAGAGGTGCTTTGGTTTCCACATCCACTACAATCTAGAATGTCTCTGAGTGGGTGAGACCTGTGGCAGTGTTCGTTAGAGCAAGATTCTGAAGATCATTTGTGAGTTTATTTTGGGTGAAGAACACATTTTAGCCATTTGGTATCTGTCATGCTGCCAAGAATTATAGGCATTTACTAGAGTAGAAAACAATCTGTTCTATAGTGACAAATGAAATGATACTTGGGCTACTTGCTGTATTCTTAAATATTTATAGTCTTTGTTCTCAGTTTATATCTGTCTCTTATTCTCGCAGAAGTCCCATTTCTGCCTAGTAGAAAAGAATGACTATGTATGCTCTGATATGACTCCTGAGAGCATTTAAAGCTATATTCACTTATTTCTTCTGGAAAAATAAATTCTAATTTCATTTTTGTTTCCTAATGGCTTCTTTTTCATGTCTCATTTTTTGGACTTTTGACACCTGGAATTTTCACAGCTCTGAACTGGTTAATCACTCCAGTACAATTGACCAGTGAGTGAAAGGAATGAGGAAACTGATTTTGTTTCCATCTGTATGGTTAAGTCTTTGGGCGCTCCAAAATAATTCAGTTGATGGTTGTACTGCTTTTTGGATTCCTGGCCAATGTCACAGGATGCCAGCCAGGCTCCCTTTACCTCCTTTCTCAACTCACATCTTCCAGGCCAGTGTTTTCTACCTAATTGTAGTTCCGGGAGCCCAGTTGTAGTTTTACATTGTTGCCACTTGAGGGCCCCCCAGGTTCTGGTGATGAATCTGAGGGTTTGGTGGGGGTGCCTGTTTGCAGGTTGCTGGAGGGCAGGACAGTATGAGCATTGAGCTGGACTGTGACAGCTCTTAGGTGTAAACAAATGACGAGCACTTGACTCTCGAAGTTAATGAGTGAGGTAGATGTAGATGGCCATCACTGTGCCATAAGAAGCAGACTTTACATTCCTAGTGGGCTTCTGTGTTTGACAGAGTAGACATCATGTAGTTTCACATGCTGGCTACAGCTTGAGAAGGCACAGCCAGTATTCCCATTCATGTAAGTCTTCAAGTCTTAGATCCAGTAGAAGAGAACACTTGGCCACTTTGCTGAACAAGTTTGACATAGAATGTTGGAGTATTTAGTGAATTTTTTTTTCCTTTCTAAATTTTGTAGCAGTAAGGTGATATGTTCATGGCTTCTTTCTTGTCACACTCGGGTCTGAGGAGGAAGTCTTGATTTTCATGTTGTCATTGACAACATTATGCCTCAGGTTGTCCTTCGAACTCCAGATTCTGTTGTTATGTAGGTTTAAGTAAAATATTCCAGAAACTTAAAAAAGAAAGGAAGAGCTGGGAGCCGGTGGCTCACACCTGTCATCCCAGCTACTCAGGAGGCTGAGATATGAGGATCGAGGTTCAAAGCCAGCCTGGGCAGAAAAGTCCATGAGGCTCTTATCTCCAATAAATAACCACCAGGAAACTGGAAGTGGCACTGTGGCCAAGTGGTAGAGCGTTTGCCTTGAGCTGAAGAGTACAGGGACAGTGCCCAAGCCCAGAGTTCAAGCCCCACGACTGACAAAAAAAAAAAAAAGGAAAGGAGTTTAGTAGTCTGGTAGTTTAGTAGCTGTCAGTATCTTCTGAACAAGGGGGTAGGCTGTGTTTATCCCGGTTGTTGATTCTCACTTGTTCTTTTCTTACTGTGCTGATTCCACACTTGATCTACAATAATGTTATTTCTTGGAGTGTATGTGTAAGTATTATTTAAAGATCATTTTCTGTGTCTTTTAGTAGGTTTTTTGGGGAAAAAAACCCCTCTCAGCATTATTATGCTTATAGGAAAGTCTCAGGTATTGGTTTTATCCTGGATGTATCCTAGTGTCCAGAAGTATCTTCCTTAGTTGTATTTTAGGGAACTAGAGAGCTGCCAGTGAGTGTTGAATCTGGAGCTTGTCCTTCGATTGTTGTGGCTATGGCTGGCATTCGTACAGACTAGACTGTGCCCATATTTATTAGCCCAAGCACCATTCATTATAGCAGCCCTCTGCGTGATAGAGCTCCTTAAGTTCCTGACTTCCAGATTTAGATCCTCCATCCTAAACTGATGTGACAGACTTGGCAGGAATTAACTCTGGGCACCAGGGTAAAGTTTTACAGACTTTATGTTTGTTTTTCCAGCTTGGATCATGTGATAGGCTTCTTGGAATGTTGACATCTCTTTAATTCTCTATTTCTTGATATTCTAGTTACCCGAAAAACTGATAAGGAAATATAGCTGGATCAAGCAATGGAAATTTGGACTGCAATTTGATGGGAAGAGTGAGGACCTGGTTGAAAAAATTAAGGAGTCCCTTATCCTGCTAAGGACAAAGGTTTGGAATATATAATTTCCATCTGTTATTAGTGCAAAGTTCTGTCTTGATTGCCCCAGCAGACCAGTTTGTAGCCTTTACTGGTGGATAATTTGATGCTCTTTGTTAATTTATTTATTTAAGTTTCTGAGGAAAAGAGATTTATTTATTTTGGTTCACAATTCTGGAAGCAGATTTGTGAGTCAAAATTAATTTTAATTTTTAAAGTGCTTTTGAGTTAGTTGTACAAAGGGGTTTCAGTTGCATCTGTCAGTTTATGAGTATACTTCATACTGATCAGTGTCACCCCTTCCATCATTCTCTCTCTCTCTCTCTCTCTCTCTCTCTCTCTCTCTCCCTCCCTCGCTCCCTCCCTCTCTCTCCCCTAACCCCACCCAGGCCTCAAGTTACCTGGTTAGACCATGGACTTTTGAAGTTCTAGTATGTGTCCCAGATAGTGCCTTGTCTGCCCCTTTTAGACTTTCAGCTCCCTGAGAGACATCCTGTTTGTTCTTTTCTATCAATGCCTAGCTCCTGGCACATAATAGGCATTCAGCAAATGCTTTGTTGAGCTGAGTAACCAGAGATCCATGACTTCCTTGAACTAAGTTTTTTTTTTTAATTTAAATTTTATTGTCAAGGTAATGTAAACAGGGGTTACAGTTACATAAGTTGTGAGAATATTTCTTGTCTAATTTGTTACCCCCTCCCTCATTATCTCCTACTTTCCTTCCCCCCGCCCAGTCCCCCGACAAGTTGTACAGATAATTGTACAGATCATTTCCAACATATGTCTTGTGAGTATCACTGTTGCATTGGTTTCCCCTTTGTCCTTTGTCTCACCAGTCTGTTGTTCCCCTTTCCTTCCCTAATTCAGATAAACGTATTTACAATACCCAGGCTACCAAAATCAAATACAGTGACAACAGGAGATAAACCATAACAGGAACAAAAAACACAAAAGAAGAAAAGAAATCACATAGTACATTAAAAACAACAACAACAAAGAAAAATCTCTTGTGTCCATGTCTTTCTTAGAATTCATTTTGCCTAGCGTCATCTTATGTGGTCATATGTATATGGCAATTGAGCTCTTCTGCTCATCTGATAAGATCATCCTAGACGTATACTGCATATTACAAATAAGGGAAACCATGAGACCTTTGTTTCTTTGGGTCTGGCTTACTTCACTTAATATGATTTTTTTCAATCCTTTCATTTCCTTACAAACGGGTTGGTGTCATTCTTTCTGATGGAAGCATAGAATCCCATTGAATGATCTACTGAGGGGCATCTGGGTTGGTTCCAAATATTAGCTATGGTGAATAATGCTGTGATGATCATAGTTGTGCTGGTAGCTTTAGTGTGGCCTTGTTTTGTGGTCATTTGGGTAAACGTCCAGAAGTGGTCACCACAGATTGGGAGATCTTCACTAGCCATACAACAGACTCTAAGGGCCTCATATCTAAAATATCCTTATAACTCAAAAACTTAAATCCCCCAAAAACAAATCCTCAAAGAAACAACTGCCTCATTAATAAGTGGGCTAAAGACTTAGAGACTTCTCTGAAGAGGAAATAAAAATGGCCAATAAACATATGAAGAAATGCTCAACTTCTCTGGCCATAAGAAATGCAAATCAAAACAACATTGAGATTCTATTTTACCTCAGTTAGAATGGCTGTAATCAAGAACTGTAATAACAACAGATCCTGGAGGGGATATGGGCAGAAGGGAACCCTACTGCATTGTTGGTGGGAGTATAAACTTGTTCAACCACTCTGGAAAGCAGTATGGAGGTTCCTCAAAAGACTAAACATAGAATTTAGTTTATATTATTCACTTGGATATATACTGTTAAAGGAAGTGCAGTGATACTATTTTCCACTAAAAAGGAAAGAGAGAGAAGAGAACGGGCATTTTGTTTTGATTACCCATGTGTGTAGCATGTGTGTTGGGGGGCTCAAGGCCTGTGCTGCCCAATCTCTGGGCTAGTAGAAGCATTAGTGCAGGGTTCTAAGCCTGCACAGCTCTACTTCAGCTAACCCACTATGTGTGTGTGGGGTGGGGAGGGGGGGGCCAGAAAGGGAGAGAGGAAGAGAAAGAGACGTACCAGTTTTCAGTCCAAGTATTGGAGAATGTTCTGTGTCGTCGTTATTTATATTTACTCTTGGTTTTAAAAACAGTGGGTTTTGAAAGGGACATTAAATGGTGGTAAGAAGATCTGGTTTTTATCACGTCCCTTTTCTCCTTCACTGTGACTTAAAAGCACATATAATAAAGGATTTTTGTGTTTATTGAAGTGTTGGTTTATGTAGCTGAAAGCCTGACCCATTTATTCTGAATTAGTAGTCAGTAAGAATTTCTGAATGGTTTTATTCATTTGAATCTCATGGGTTTTTGTTTGTTTGTTTGTTGATGGGACTGAGGTTTGAATTCCAGGGTCTCCTGCTTGCTGGGCAGGTCCCCTATTGCATGAATCAAGTAGGGTCTTATATTCTTGTCTGGGCTGGCTTGGACTGTGATCCTCCTATTTACACATCCTGCAGGTGTGCATCACTACACTTAGATGGGGTCTTGTTAATTGTTTGCCTAGGCCAGCTAAACTGTGATCCTCTGGTCTTCATCTCTGAAATAGTTGGGATTGCAGGCATGAGCGACGACTGCCTAGCCTCAAGAGTCTAGTACACTTGAATATTCAGGAGCCCCCACAACCTTCCCTGCCTATCTGTCATTTTGGAGGGTTGGCTGTATGTTTCTAGGGTAACTTTTTCCAAAAGCCCTTCAGGTGGTGGAGTGTGATAGTTTCTCTTCAGAGCCCCACACAGTCTTTTTTCCAACTATGTCCAGTTGTTGGGGCCATTCTCGTCTGGGAGGTTGGAGGAGTTGAGATTTCTATTCCATCACTCCAGTGCTTCTCCTTACTGTATCATACTTCTGTTGCAGATTAACAGGGGGAAAGCTGAATAAGGGTTCGTGCAGTCTAAAAGTACCATTGTACAAATCAGAAAGTTAAAATTGTAATCATTGGGATGTGACCTATGGTCCTCTAATTTGAAGAATAGTTTTGTGTACCAGCAGTGTTTAGATCACGAATTCTAATGATTATCTCTCTTGCTATAGTGGGCAGGCCTGGCTGAAATGAGAACTGCTGAAGCAAGGCAGATAGCTTGTGACGAACTATTCACAAATGAAGAAGAATATAGCCTCTATGAAGCTGTGAAATTCCTAATGCTAAATAGAGCCATTGAACTCTATGATGATAAAGAGAAAGGAAAGGAAGTCCCATTTTTCTCTGTGCTTCTGTTTGCTCGGGATACATCGAATGACCCTGGACAGCTGCTGAGGAACCATCTGAACCAGGTGGGCCACACTGGTGGCCTTGAACAGGTGAGTTCTTTGGAGAGTGTATGTAGTACCTCAGACCATGGCAGTTTTTGCCATCAAATGTGGCCTCAGAGCGTCTGTAGATTGGGAATCAGGAGCAGCGTAATTGGGTGGTTCTGGCCCAGGGTCTCATGGGGCTTGTATGGTGCTGTTTAGGATGATTGTCTTAAGAGTCTGAGAGATTTACTTCAGGGCTTTCTCCCCTGGTTGTGGGCAGGAAGCTTACTTCCTCATTGGTAGTTTGGAGGGTTCAGTTCCTCACCTCATGGGCCTCCCCATAGGGCTGTTCAGGTTTCCGTGTTATATGACAGCTAGCTTTTCTCAGAGGGATCCATGAATAGAACAAAGAGGAAGCCACAGTGAACTCATCTTAGTAATCACATGCTATCACTTATTCTTTGTTCTGTTTGCTAAAACACAGTCTAAATCCATTGCACGCTCAAGGGCAAGGAGATTGAGCGTCTTTTCAAGAGAGGAGACACATTCATAGGGTTTTGTTTATCTTGTCAGCTCCAGCTATAGAGCCTGGCACTTTTCATGTCTTTATAGATGTGTTGTGCACAGATACCCAGTATAGTACTGGTTCCCATTCCACTGTGCTGTTTGTTTCCATAAAGGATCTTCATTATTATTGTATTTAAACTTTTATTATTTTGATGCACCAACCACTAAAGTAACATCAAGGGTAACTTCCTCCTTCTATGACATACTCTTATGAATACCTTTTCCCAGAATGACCCAAGAGCCAGGAAGAGAGAGCCGTCCTGCAGGATGAAAATCTATAGTTTTTCTGAGGCTGTAGGAAAGAGCAGCACTCATTGTCATGATTGGCCAAATAGGATTGATGATGACTATTTAAAATAATGATCTGTATTCAGACTGTGGATTGCTTTTTTTTGTCTATATATATGAGAAAAGATTAGGGCAGTTACAGCCTAACCATTGCCACATATTGGCTGTGATGATGAATGAATGGATGAATGCTGATCTTGAACCATCTCTAAGTTTGGCTTTCCTCAGAATACTTGCTTTTTCTTCCCAGGTTGAAATGTTCCTTCTTGCCTATGCTGTTCGCCACACTATCCAGGTATATCGACTGTCCAAGTTCAACACTGAAGAGTTCATCACAGTGTACCCCACTGATGCTCCCCGGGACTGGCCAGTGGTGACCCTCATTGCCGAGGATGACCGGCACTATAATGTCCCTGTCAGAGTTTGTGAGGAGACGAGTCTGTGAGAGAGACATCACCTGGACAGCCTCGTGACATGGCAGGGCACACAGGCAGCTCCTTGCTGAGAGCCTTAGACCTGCCGGTGTTGAAAAACAACCTGTGAGAATCCCTGAGCTCCTGGGGGCCAGGTTGGACTGGGGTGTTCTGAAGACTACCTTTTGATAGTAATAATTAACTAAGTCTATCCCCTAGTGTGCCAAGTGGTGTGTTTCACTGGGGGCCATCAGAGCATATCTATTAGAAGGTGCAAGCTACAGTTCCACAAGTCAAAGATTTTTGTATCAGAGGACACCACTTTTGGATATGTTCATGTCTTGAATCAAAATTCTCTCTAATGCTAAACTGGCTTTTAATTTGTTTTGTAAAAGCAGTAATCTTTTGGTGGTGGTAATGGGTGTCTCTACTAGTCTTCTACATGATCTGTTTCAGTGGTAGAGTTCTGAGATGGATGTGTTGATAGCATATTCAGGGCATCTTCTGATTGTCTCATCAGAGCAATAATTTGGATTTAGATATTAATACCATCTTAGGCAGATTGTCTCTGAGAAGATGAAGAATTGGTTCCTCGGGTAGGTTCTTGGAAGGCTGGAGATGCTACATGAGGGAACGGCAGAGGATCCCAGGCCTTCCTGCTCTGTGTGACCGTGATGTGGGTTGAGTTGGTTGGTGATGCCTTGTCAACTTGGAGGAGCTGCTCACACCTGTGTCAGAGTTGATACTTACTCAAAGGCCCCAACGAGACACAAGCTTACTTAGAAAAGAGTGTATATCCACCTGTGATTTTAGAGCTAGAGTCCAAGGCCAAATGATCTTAGTCACTAATCTCAGCTGAGAGTTGGAGCTGAGCCCCCCAGTCTACCTGTGCCCTTTTCACCCGGTGTTGCATATGTGTGCAACTTAACCTGGTGATAGGGTGATTAACAGCAGACTGTCTAGACTCTTATGTAGTAAACACAGTACAGAAGCTGTTGTGCTCCTAATTTGGCTTGAGAAAGCCTGAAAGAGACGCCAACCAGGCCATAAGCACTTGCCTGCATAGCGCAGGGCAGTGTGGTGACTGGGTTAGTGGTGGGCAGTTGTGCTCAGCCTGGTCTGCCTTAGGGCTAGTGTTGTTCTTCAGGGACATGGACTTGGTCATTGTTCATGAGAACCGGACACATCACTCTTAAGATTCTGTCAGCAGAACCAGCATTAGCTCAGCTCTGTAGAGCTGATGTTTCCTTGAAGTACTGAGTCTGTTTTATATAATTAAAATATTGGATCCAATTTAAAACACCCAAGCTTATCGTTTATAAGCTGTGTAACCTATTTGGGGGAAGGGACAAACCTTTGAAAATTTATGTTTGCTTTTAATTAAAACTTATGCCTTAGTGAAGAGAATCAAGATGCAGAACTATTCAGACTGTTACATTAGTATTTCTCCCATTACCTCATTAGTAATGTCTGCCACATTCTGCTAGATGTTTATTGGTCACAGTGTTAGAATCAAATCCTACTCTAATTGTGTGCACATACATTAGAGAGGCTTTGTGTTTTTCACTGAGAAATACCATGGTGCCTGGAAACCAAATTAAAGTACTGCTAGAGATTTCTTGTTGGCGTTGACACTTCATTTCAGTATTTGTAACAATTCAGCTGGAAATGCTTACCCTTAATTTTGAACAATTTTGAAAGCACAGGTTGAATGTTTAGGTAACACATGGCAGGATGGATCTACTCCCTTAAGGCAGATTGAATCTGACCATTAGTTCATATCCACTATGATTTTTTTGTTGTTGTTGTTGGTCACGGGGCTTGAACTCAGGGCTTGGGTGCTTGAGCTTTTTTTGCTCAAGGGAAGTGTTCTACCACTTTGAGCCACAGCACCACTTCCAGTTTTCTGGTGGTTAATTGGAGATAAGTGTCTCATGGACTTTCCTGCCCAGGGTGGTGATCCTCAGATCTCAGGCTCCTGAGTAGCTAGAATTACAGGTGTGAGCCACCGGTGCCTGGCTTTCCACTATGATTTTTAATAGTACTCAATGACTGTCTGCATTTTAAAATTATTCTAGCTTTAGTGCACTTGAACTGGAGCAGCCTAATTTCATACATTTTTATTGTTTCTGTGTGGAATATCATTCCTTTCATGATGCACGATACTGCATCATGATCTCTGTGACTAGTAGGCCTTTTCAGAACCTGCTCTCCTCCTCCGTGAGCTTCTGGGTGCACAATGCAGATTGGATTCGCTCATGGGCTTGGGTCGTGTGGCCTTTGGCTTAGAGTTGGGGCATGTGTGGGTTTGAACTGAAATGTTTTCAGTTCTTCCTCCTTAGAATGCAGCATTCGAAAATATTTTAAGTGCATAGATCAGGATTAATCTTGTTTTTTTTTTATATAGCCACTGATACATACATTACACTGTGATATACATATGTATATATAGTACACACTATACATATGTATATATACATACATTATATATATATATATATATATATATATACACACACACACACACAGAGTATATACATACACACATAATTATCTGATGAGATTTATCTGATTGAGGAAAATAGACTTTACCTTTGTATGTTGTTACTTTTTCCTCTCCAGTTTGGTGTTTATTGAGTAAACCCTAGGCCACATGAATTGATTAAGCCTTAAAGAAACCTCTTCCCATGGTGCTACTTTGCCTAACAGTCACTAGTTTATCATTGGAGATAAGGACTAAAGTACTTTGTCACAGCTAATGACACAGCACCCTGACCAGCCCCATGCTTATACAGGATTCACACACTTCCTGCTTGCAATGCAACTTTTTTTTTTTTTTTTAACTGTTAAACCATGGTCAAGCTGGGTCTGGAAAGGTGGCTTAGTGGTAGAGTGCTTGCTTTGCATTCATGAAGCCCTGGGTTCGATTCCTTAGCACCACATAAACAGAAAAAGCTGGAAGTGGTGCTATGGCTCAAGTGGTAGAGTGCTACCTTTGAGATGAAGAGCTCAGGGACAGCACCCAGGCCCAGAGTTCAAGCCCCATAAACTTCAAAAACAAAAAACTGAAAACCCATGGTCAAGCTACCTTCTTACCTCATTAAAAATTTTTTTTTTCCGGTCATGGGGCTTGAACTCTGGGCCTGGGTGTTGTCCCTGAGCTCTTCAGCTCAAGGCTAGTGCTCTACTACATGAGCCACAGCGCCACTTCTGGTTTTCTGGTGGTTAATTGCAGATGAAAGTCTCAGCTTTGAACCACAATCCTCAGATCTCAGCCTCCTGAGTAGTTAGGATTACAGGTGTGAGTCACCTGTGCCTGGATCTCATTTACTTTCCAGAAGCATAATTCACTGAGGAATTTGGCTTTTAGATATGCGCAAAAATAAATATTTTTATTTAAGATTTGTGACTACCCGAAAAAAAACAAAACCTTCAGAGTGTGTGAAGTGAATCTGAAAGTGCATGAAACACACAGAATCCCAAGATCGTTTAGCACAATATCAGTTATTTATCTAAAGAACGGAGAATGACCTCAAGATGACTTTAGAATAAACTTTAAAGCATAAAAACAATAGAAGCTCAACAGACTTTTCATGCTTAAGTTACAAAGCATACAAATGTGAATGGGAAGAATTGTGGGCATAGATTCTGCAAATTCCTGTTTCTAAAATTTAACTTGTCTATTTGAGAAAATATTGAATGCATAACTATTTTTGAGAAACTGTGATCTCTTGAGGGTGTGGAGAGACAAGGGAGCCATGGAGTGGGCAGAGAATGTGTGAGCAAAGACACAGGCAATGAGTGTTATTGTTCCTATGATTCAGCTTATAAACTGGAGCCGTGAAAAGCACCAAACTGAACTGATTCAGCTGCATACCACCCTGGCATTTTCCTGGAAGTCAGTAGCAGTAGAAGCCAGGAAGGCTTGGCCATGACCAGAGCGAGCAGTGTGGGTGTGGTTATGTGTGCACATGCTGGACTCACAGCAGTCCTTTGTGTACTGCAGCCCCCCTGCTTGGGAGTCAGGTGTATTCTGGGAAGCTGAAGACAATTGCCCCATGTACTTGAATTTTTTTTCATGGTAAATTGAAATTTATTACTGGGGAATGAGCTAGTTTATATAATTAATATAGGATAACCATTCTGTCTGGAAGCGTTAATTATATTGAAATGGTATAGATCACTTATTATATATGTCTCTTTCCTTGGGCCTTACAGTCATTTGTATATTTAAGCATTTTGAATGCTCATAAATGCATTCAGTAGCAATAATGGAGGAGGACACTTGAGTTTTGTCTGTTAATCTCAGTTGATTTCTTGGGTACAAGTTTGGGTCAGCAGTGAAATTGCCAAAACACAGCTCGACAAGAGGAAAGACACTGACCTTGAAATATCCACAGTCTTGGTAATCATATTCCTAATAACTATGGGAGTTCGAGCTTCATTCTGATCTTGAAACATTCTTTAGGTGCTTTTGCTTATGTATTGAAAATTGCTTTGATCTGCAAATGTCTGGCGTAAATCGTGCTAACTGTATGGTGATCTGTATTTGCCCCACAGCAGTCCAGTGTAATGGTGACTTCTGAGTATTTTGGTGTGGGAACTATGTGAAAATGAATAATTAGTGAACTTCCTTCTCTATTTCCAGCAGCATCTACTTTCTACCTTATCATTTGGACAGGACAGCAGCCCAGTTCTAGAACGTTAGCCCATGGCAATGGTATCTTCTTCCCTGGGGAATCTGTCATGGAGGGGAGCACCTGGTGAAACTAGCTGCTCTGATCTTGGCTTGTTTCGTGACACTTTCCCTTGTAAGGTGGCAGCATTTGCCAAGAAGTTTGTCCACTCAAAAGTCATGCCCCAAAGGCCCTGGGTTTGGGCAGGTTGAGGCCTTGTTTCCCACTTGCAGCCTCATCCAGGGGCCTGGCTCACAGAGCCAGAGTGTTCTCAGCCACTTGTCTTTTGTGGTCACTGTCAGGCTAAGCCTACTCTGGGTTTGCTGTTGGTCTTTTCAGCACACCTGCCTGCTGAGGACTGTAAAAATAAACTTAAAATAAGACTCAGAAGCCTGGCAGCGCTGCTGTGGTTAAGTATCAGCTTTAGAGGACTTTGCAGACTGCACTTCAGCAGTCCATTAGTCCAGGGCAGGCTTGGAATGTGTAGAAGCCACATCTTGACTTCGCTTCTGTGGGTGGAGTAGTGGAGGTTTGGGGACATGGTGTTGGGCAGTGCTGCAGAGCTGAATGAGATGAAGAGATTTAGCACAGTGCCTAGTTTGTAGTAAGGGCTCTAAAAAGGCATATATATGAACACACACACACAGACACAGAGTTTTGGATTTGGGTCTTGACTGAATAGCAGCCCATGAGCTACAACTAGCAGAGTTTGGGTAAGTTGCTAACAGTCTTTACATTTCAGTGTGTTCATCTGGACCGTGCAGACTGTCTCAGGTAATGTGGATTAAGTGAGTTGTCAGCATGCAAACAAAGCTGGAGGAAGATCCTTCAAGAGCAGGGATCCAGCCCTAATTGTGATCCATCCTGGCCATGTCAGGATTGTGTAGGATGTGTGAGCCTTCATGGGTCTCTGCACCACTAAGACGGTTGGAGTTGTATCTAGCAAGAACTTGTATGTATTACATATGAGTTAAGACTGCCACTGACATATGGAGCAAGTCTTCCTTTATTTTTTCCTAAATTATATTTTGTATTTAGGTAGTTGTACAGGGAGTTACCATTCAACAGGTGCATTGCATATTTTCATTATAATGCAAATAGCTGTGTACATTTTTGTTACAGAATTTACTTGCTAGTATAAAATTCCTGGAGGTTGTAGAATTTCCATTCTTGGGTACTATGGGAAACATTCAATTTTCTGAATGCCTTTAAGTAGTTGTACAAAGGAGTTGACATTGAACAAAGCAGTTTTTAAATACAGTGCATTTTGATCCATGTCACCCTTTC